CCTCTCGTGATCAGCGCTATGAACACCATTTAGAACGTTGCTGAGGGCAAGCATGGATCACGATGACTTATTTTGGTTGGGTACCTTTTCGTAACCTCTACCTTGCTTGTTGCTTCGCGGTTGCTTGTCTCCCTTGTTGCTTCGCGATCGATCATAACGCTTGTAGTCCTCACCACTTTGTCCTGCTTGCTCGACAAGTCAAATTGATCGAGCTCGATGTGCCGGCATCTTAGTATTCGCCTCGCCTCGAGTCGGAACCAGACATGTGACTTCGCTTGCGCGTAGCAGTCGTAAACGTCACAGAGGCGGTCGAATGCCATTGCGACGCGAAGTGTGAGCGCGTTTCGGTGCACCAGTCAGTGACGCGTAGCATTCTGAGATAGATGTTGTATGTGGCACCATAGAGGAAATCGCAGCACAAGTCCGCTACGTGTAGCGAACCCGACCTTTCATTGGATCGTGCGGTTCACGACTTTCATACCTTCAATTTTTTTTGGATTGTTCCCTAAAAAATGCATGCTGCGAGGCTCGCATCATAGCCATGACTTCGTCACCAATCAATTCGTCTCTTTCTGTCCTGTCAGCCGTCCAAAACCGCTGTCCAAGATGAAGTTTCTTTCTCGTACCTTGTCTAGACCAGAAAGGTACTTTCAATAGATATCTCTCTTTTAGGATGTAAGATAAACGCGTACTTGATTTTTCTTCCCTGGTCAATTGTATAGCTCTCATTGTCATGTTACATAAGTTTTCCTCACGCAACATAATCGCAACTGTCTTGCCCCAACACTGCGGGGTAAATCCGGTGGCTTAATTCTCGCGTCTTGGAGTAGCCTTCCTGGCGCTGTTCATGGTCATGGAGAATTGCACAAGAAACTTTCATTGAGATACAGTCTTTCCATAGAAATGCATCAATTTGAGAAGGTGACACGTGTTAGGCTCTTAACTATTCGGCCGAAAGATCAGGGTCGCCTCGGCTTCGCGCATGCTCTTATCACGGACGTGGGCAACGAGCAGACTGAGTCAAGGCATTCTCTTTGTGAGGGATGCTCACGTGAC